ACCTGCAAATATAATTTCTGATACAACACAAAACTCTAATTCACTAACAATTCCAAATACAAAAAAGAAAGTAACATTTAATATTAAGTAATTTATCGTTTTACTGGAGGGGGAGTATATCGATGGCTGATTGGAAGATCGAGCTATCTCGGCAGCCAGTTCGAAAACGGCCTATCTCCAAAAACTCAAAAACGCCCTACTTCAGAATTTGATTGAAAAACGCCCTATTTCAGAATATTATTGAAAAACACCCTATCTAAGAATTTGGTTGAATATCGCCTTATCTCAGAATTCGGTTCAAAAACGCCCTATCTCAAACGAAAATACATTGAGAATAAGCTGAGATAGGGCGTTTTTGAATCGGCATCTAAGATAGGGCGTTCCCATGACAGCCGGTTCTACGTACCGGAATGACTCGGGTTTTACCCGACCAAGGGCTTTTGTTTCGGCGATCTAACCCCGTTTAGGTCGGGGAAGTATCTCAGAAGTTGCTCGCAAATAGGGCTACATTCGCTACGTATTCTTCTACTCAGGGCTGGCATCGAGTCAACCCCAGGGCCAGAAATCTACACCTGCTGTGTATGCCAGAGACGACTACACCATAACTCCACCTCAGTCAAGTGTAATACCTGCGAGGGGTGGAGTCACCTTAGAGTCTGCTCAGGACTACGGACACATCGGCAGTGGACCACGTCGTACGTGGCCCCCTGCTGCTCAAACAGAGCAGCCTCCACGGCTATCCTCAGTCCACCCGAGCAACCTCACACAGTCACCACAACACAACAACATAATAACACCACAGACCATACCACAGCCACGAGAGACCACATAACACACACAACCGCACCACCACCCACACGCCGCCGCCAACAACTCCTGGTTCCCCCTACAATCTGCACGGTATGTCACACCAGGATATTCCGTAATGTGACATCAGTCAAGTGCAACACCTGCCTTGGCTGGTGCCACTTTAGGGCATGCTCAGGTCTGCGTACCACGCGAGATTGGACTGGGAACTTCGAGGGCCCGTGTTGCGCTGCTCGGTCGCAGACCTCAACTGCCACCACAGGGCGGCAACCATCGCAGCAGCGCACACAGCCAACGGCGGTAAGAACACACATATCCCTTACACCCCACATAACGACACGTCTCCCGAACCACATGAAGCTCCTTCAATTTAACTGCAACGGGCTACAGAGCAAGATTGAGGAGATAACCGTCTTCATGTGTCGGCATGGTATATTGATAGCTGCGGTCCAAGTTGCACAGCAATTCAACTTTGTTGAATTGCGCCGGGTACAACGTGTACCGTCGAGATCGCGAGCGAGATAATAGTGGTGGCTTAGCGTTCATCACGCACCACACCGTGCAGTATCGTCTTATCGAAGCAGACATCGACCGCAGGGATACCACCCTAGAATATCAGGGCATTGCTATCCGGTCAGGCGATGTTGAGCTCGAAATATTTAACGTTTATATACCCCCTGTCACCTGCTGCCGGGCAGGATATCACCCTGACATAGGTGCGCTCCTTTGAGGTGAAAACGGTATGGTAGTAGGCGACTTTAATGCGCACCACGATCTTTGGCACTCAAGCCTGCCAAACGATCGTAGGGGAACTGACTTGGCTGAGCAGATAGACGGTTCGACATTCTGCACAATGAACGA